AAATACCAATTTTAGAGTTATAACTATAATTATAAATTTATAATGTTTTATATCAAAATTCAAAAGTCAAGAATTCATGCCTTGCTGGCATTGTTTGATAGAAAGAGAGAAGAAAAGTTGAGGTGACAGAAGAAAAATAAAACAAATGGTACGAGCCAATGGGGTTTTCTGCACTTTACTGAATGGTGCATCAATGGCTGCTTCAACAGTCTTCCTTGATGATACCACAAGTCTGTCCAGTAGATTTAGACACACAACGAGACAAATACTTTTTCATTTTTTATTTCAATATAATAATAGTATTTTAATACCATGAAACAGAAGCTATTTAAAGCATTTCTTCTTTTTTGGGGTTTTGAAAAGGTCTCGATGGGTTTTAAGGGAGTCAGTTTAGGTTACAGCCCTGTGTGTAACCACTAAGTGAAACGTGTCAAGTATACAGAAGCAAAGACAGTCGAGCCAATCATATTGTGAGATCTTCTGCCAACGTGGCAGAAACAATTCTTCAGTGGCTCGACGAAATTAAGGTAACAGCTTCACTGTGCTTTTAATTGTGAAAGGAAAGGCTAGAAGCTTGTTTGTTCCCACTCACCCCTTATAATCTTTTTTCCTTGGTCAAAACTATTTCTGTATTTATTATATTGCTAGAAATTTGGAATTATCAACATGAATATTTTAAGGATTTATTAGTAGTTTCTTAATAAATAAAATTCATATTTATTTAATCATATATCTAAAGTAATTCTCCATCAGAAGGTTTATGTTTTATTTGCTTAACTGATCAAGAGTGAAGAGAGAAATGTAAGTGTATGTGAACAAAAAGATAAAAAGCCTAATAGAAAAGTGATTACAAGGTAAAATATATGAAGATCTGTACAAGTTTTGAAAGCTAAGGAATTAAGGTATATTATTCCCTTCTCTCGAGTAATTACTTACTACTTTTGGTAGTCTTCTTGAAGGGTGTAGTGATTTTGGTTAACCGTATAAGATGTCTCTTCTCTGGTTACTTGTTCATTTTTACTTTGTATGTTAATTATTTGCTTCTATTTTATTCATTCAAATGAGATTTCGCAAGGTGCTTGTGTGAGTTTATGTTATGTGTTTGATGAAATTCCTAAATGAGCACTAAAAGGGAGTTCGAAACGCAAACAAATATTTTAATATCCAAGTGCTATAATCAATAATCATATTGTTCATGATAAATATCGCAACGATTTTAATATCTAAGCCTTTCATCTTTCAAAGATTGTCATCGGAGACTTAGGAGGGAAAGGAAGTGTATTTCAAGATTTCATATTAATTGCTTTTTTTAATATTGGTAACATGTCAGTTTAGTTTATATACACAATTTCAAGGACTTGGTTTTTAAGTTTGCTATTACTTTAGACTATAATATCCATATTGTATTTTATTATATAAGTTTTTCTTCTGATGGTGAATATACTAGTGAGGAATGATAAATGTGGCATGAGGCTCTGAACCGATTCAGTGGAAATGATAGGAAAATATCCGATCTCAAAGTACAAACTAAATTTATTTTCCATGCTCAATCTATTAAAAATTAATATTAACAATACCTATTCTTAGACTGGTCAGATTATTTTTTTTCATTTGTTTCTCATAGTTCGTTCTCATTTTCTTTTTTTCAAGTTAATATTTAATTCAATTTTACGATGGTTATTGAATTTTTTTAGATAAATTTTGGGTTTCAACATGAATGATTAGCTTTATAATCATATACAAATATAGAAATCATATAGAAATGTTTCCTTGCTCTAAGGAATTTTACTCTAATTTTTTTTCTATTCTCTACATCTCAGAATCTTTTCTTGAAAAAAAAGAACTAAAACTATTAACTCTAAATAACACTTAGTTAAATTATTACGGAAATATATTTTTTGGAAAAGGGTGTGAAGATATATAGCAAAACGATAATTATAAGAGGGAACTCTGTTAAGCATCCAAGCCACTTAACCTTCCACGCCAAAGTTTAGATGCCATGATTTTTAGGAAAGACTTTTTTTCTGGTATATAGTATGATTGAACACAAAAATAAACCTATATATTAATCATCTCATTTCCAGATATTTAGTTCCATTTCATCATATATAAAAACAATGTAATGTATCAGTTTCTAAAGCAACTTTCCTTAGCTATGATATATGCACAAATGTCAACTTCAGAGCATTTGGTGAAATATTAAATCTTAGTTCTTCATTCAAGTTGAAGTCATTGCTGAGTACTAAGTCCAGAATTCCAACTACAAAGTTGCTTTTCAGTTCCCACAGGCTAGGTATAGTCTATACTATCATTGTTGCATGTTTGACATATCATCCTTTATTCTTTGTTAAATTTATTTTTAATTTCTATTTATCCAATTATGTTACAATACGTTAGTTTGTCTGAATAAGTTTGTATAAAAAGTTTGTACACGTAATTTATACTATCATTGTTGCATGTTTGACATATCATCTTTTATACTTTGTTTAATTTATTATTAATTTTAAGTTATCAAATTATGTTACAATACGTCAATTTGTACGAATAAGTTTGTATAAAAAAATATATACATGTAGTATTATTCATCCTATAAGCATCACCATGTTCATTTGTCTAGTTCATAACAACTTCTTTTATTTTTTATTGAAGTAAGGTTATACTATTGAACTGTCTTGGTGAATCCATTAATAACACCAAATAATCCACGTAATTAGTGACTTATATAGCACGGCACAAATATTTGACAATTGTGGGAAGGGGTCTATTGTCATATTAGAGTATGAGTGCCATTTGACAATTGTGGGAAGGGGTCTATTGTCATATTAGAGTATGAGTGCCCTGTAGGATATCATATCGAGATTAAGATCATAATAAGATTAGGGTTGAACAATCCAAGGCGTTAGTTTATTATGTCTTTTAAGGCTCTCTTGTTTTGGTTTATTTTTTAATGACCCAGAGTATTGCTACTTAAAGATTTTGATATCTCTGTTTATATATGACAAGTTGGAACATGCCTCAATTTTCTCTTAGGTGTGAGTTGTAATTGTAGAGTGATATTTTATTCAATTACTTATTTGATAATTTTGCTTGGATGCAAAATCATAAATTTATTTCCTTATCCAATTAATATTTGTTTAATGGGATCTCTATATAAATGTACTAGTAAAGTTTAAAAAGTGTGTGAATGCTTCCCCCAGTCTGTTCAGATGTTGGCGAGGCTGGTTAAAATTCACCTGTGAAAGGTGAAATGAAAGAAAAGTTTTTGAGCTCTGCTAGTGTTCGGTGTTAAATTTTTTTAATACACTTGCATCTTCTCAATTTACGTGCTAATGACTTTATTTTTTCATTGCTGATGTTGACAAAGGTTTGGATTATCGTATTACAACGTTGTCTTTTATTTGTTTGCTATATTTCACCCTTGACGTTTAATCAACAATTAAGACGATCTTATCTTTAATTAGAGGTGGAGCTTAAATTGGGGCTTTTACCGGTTCTTTTAAATAACTTTTGACATACATGATGGGAGATTTAGCATACCAGTCTTTTCAACTTTGTCCACTAAAGCCATACTCCTACAAGGCTAGGTCTTTAAGTTGAAGGTCTTGTCAAAATTTTCAGATGTACCCACGTCACACAATCCTATCAGCATCTTGTCAAAACTCAGAGTCTATTATTTTTTGTTCTTGTTTATAAACCCCTTATGATCAGTTCACCTACATTTAACTTTCATATGCACTTGGTTATCACAAAATTATCCCTAAGCAGTTTTCCCCTGAAAGAAACAAGCTCATCGTGTTATCAGATTATTTTTCTTATTCAAGTTTCATTTTATAGCCAAAACAACCTATGGTGTCACAAACACAGTAATTGGCTTTTAAGTTATTGCATTTGAACAATTCTTTTAAGCTTTACTCTTTCCTCATATCAGGCTATCAGCCATTGCTACGTCATTTTAACTTTTTGAAAGTGTTGAGTTTTTTATTTGGTGGACTTGGCTAGCTACTTATCCATGATGCTACAGAGCTTGACAGCTTATAAATTTTCTTTCAATTTTTTGTGCGTTTGCTCATCATTTAATAGTACCTCAAATGTCTTCTTAATTGTATAGTAGGAACAAAACCATCAAACTCTTTTTTTATTTTGTTTTCCAGTTCTAATTCAGGCAATTAATTGTTTACATTTTTTAGCTTAATGCATTTATTTGATTCTAAGTATGTGTTGTGTTAGGGAAAAGACAAAAGAGTCTGTAAGGTTGAAATGCGGATTTTTTGGGTTCCAACCCAACCCCACGTGTTCTTTTTGAAGTTGAGAGTTCACTGTACACAAAAGCCTAAATTAGATTAAGTTTTCAAACAAGAACATTGATATTGAGTGAAGCTCCATCAAGGAAAGGATTTTGAAAAGTTTTAACATTACATATCTAAAATTTAAAACCAAAGGTTATATTCAGTTGAGGGATTTGATGTAGTTTCGTGTTTACTTCGTTTAAATTCCAAGGTTCTCTAATTCTACTTTTATAATTTTGGAGATATTATTTTTACGGGGCTGGATTCTTATCTTTAAATCATTTAGATTTGATTTATAAAGTTTTTACTCTTTTTTAATATTGATTTGTAAAGCCTGCAAATGGACTTCCAAAGATCAGGGAGATTCACACTTTTACCATTTAAGTATTATTCTAAGTTTCAAGAGGTTTTTGCATATATGCATGGCAGTGATCTAGTTCTTTGACTTTTCCATAGTGCTTCATTTCACAAAAAATGCATTCCTCAAAAAACTATACACAATTTGAAAAATCTTGCTGAAATTTCATCAAAACTCTACCCTTGTGCATAAAACAAAAGAAATGGCGTTTCCATAACTTCTTTTTACGGTTTGATCTTATATATAAGACTTCAGTTATGATTAAAAAGGAAAAGGAGAGAAATAGACATTTTGCTTCTTGAGTGCATGCGTCTCATCATAATTAATACTAAACTCGTATGGAATTTGTTTTGCAGTGTGAGGTCAACAATTGAAAGGTACAAGAAATCATGCGCAGATTCTTCAAACCCAGGATTTGTAACTGAAGCTAACACTCAGGTAAATTTATTAATATAGCTAATAATATATATGGGAAATGTTGTTTCATGGAACAAATAATATGCTCTTTTTTCTACTTGGGAAGACCAAATAGCCAGGCATGTATTGGTTTGCTTCATTCTCCAACTTTGGCAATTAGCTGTGACTTGATGTTGCATATCATACAATGCATCCTATTTTTGACCAAAATTAGATTATCTATACTTTGTGTAGATATCAAAGTTATAGTTGGCACAAAAGTCAACTTTGTCTTTCTGGTTGGTCCCGATCGCTCACCGTAAATGTTTTGTGCTCCAATGCTAACCATGAGTCTTTTTGTTTTACTTTTATCATATTCATATGGCTCATCTTGTTTTGTTTTTTGATTTGGCTTTATTTTTTGTTCTTAATTAATCTTTAAAAAAAAATGAAGAATGAGGTTTCATTTGGGTCTTCGTTACTGATTTTTGTAGTTCATGTATAGTTCAATAAAAGTTCTGAGTTTTATCAAACTTATTTATGAAAAGCATGAACTGACATCAGTAAAAATAAAACAGATGTATGAATTTTTATATACGTGTGTGTTTATTGTGAGTAGTAGTACTTCTTTGGGTTTTTATTAATTAGGACTTGGGGTGATTTTTTCATGGATATAATTTGCTCTCGTTCTTGATATTTCCCAAAACAACTCTCACTCCACCTTCTGTGTGAATCTCTTACTTTCATAGGTGAATTGAACTGTAAGTCTATAACTTTTGCATTCTTCTGATTATTTAATTAAGTTTTTACCACAAAAATATATTATTCGATTGTACAATGAGACACTCTCGGTGGATGAATGCTTACATTGTGTGCTTTGGCACATCCCTAATTTGAATTATTTTTGTCCTTAATCTTCTTTCTAATGATGAGTATAGAAGTGTTATTCTAATTTATAGTCTCATGTGCGTCACCTCAGTTTTACCAACAAGAAGCCACTAAACTCCGGAGACAAATCCGAGAAATTCAGAACCTGAACAGGTAAGTTCATTAGATCACTTTTTAATTGTTTTTAAATCAGTTGTATGATATCCATCACCATTGTATATTATTATATACGATATTGTTTCCAGGCATATCTTGGGTGAGGCTCTTAACTCCTTGAGCTTTAAGGAACTCAAGAACCTGGAGGGCAGACTGGAGAAAGGGATCAGCCGAATCAGATCCAAAAAGGTATTATGGTTAATTGACTGCTTAAACTCAATTCGGTGATACATTTATTTCATTTAAGTCTCACTTTTCTTTTTTGTTTGTTAAATATTCAAATTCCTATCATTGAAATGCTCGGAACTTTTGCCAGAACGAAATGTTATTTGCTGAAATCGAGCTCATGCAGAAGAGGGTAAGTTTTCTTTCCTGCGCCAGTTTTTTTTTTTTTTTTTTTTTTTTGGCTTTTAGGTTTGCTAAAACTGTTGAACATGATTATACTCAATGAAGTTAGTAAGGCAGGGACATGCCATATAGTTTATATGTCAGATTGTAGAGGCAAATCCAATAAACAATAGAAAAATTCGTTGAAAGAATTTGAAAATCAATTTATGTTGCCCTAGTATTGACCTTCTAAAGAGTTGAAAATTCCATATACACGAAAACCCTAATACTATGTACAGCACCTGATTTATGACCAAATTCATTACATACTGGGAAGCGCAGCTTTCTGTTTCGGGTTCTGATGGTAGGGTCTGATAGATACCCATCTAACAACTTAAACAATTTGGTTGGGCAGTAAGCTTTTTGTGAGTTTGGGTATAATTCTCCTTAGAAAAACAGTTACCAGAGGAGAGTGTCTAAGACCTTTATAACTCACATGAACAGTTACCAGAGGAGAGTGTCTAAGACCTTTATAACCCACATGCCCACCTTTTACCCTTCTAATATGAGATCCTAACAGGGCCAAGTATAACAATAAATGGATATAGATCCCAGATAACCCATTTCAAATCCTGATGTAGAATCCATACACTCAAATAAAATGAAACTTTAAGTTCACCATGAAATTATTTGATGGATATGTTTGTTACGGTTATGATTATATCATATCCTTTTACTTATTAGCAATAATATGCGCACATGTACAGGAAATTCAGCTGCAAAATGATAACATGTACCTGCGAGCAAAGGTCTTTCAATCTCTCTCTCTCTCTCTCTCTCTCTCTCTCTCCCCACATGATAGCTAAATCCTAAATTATATTAATGTTAAAAATCATTATTATATTTATGTGGTACAGATAGCTGAAAACGAGAGAGCTGAACAGCAACAACCAAACATGATGCAGGGATCTGTCTATGATCAATCTGTGCCTTCACAGTCGTATGATCGAAATTTCATCCCTGTAAACCTCCTGGAACCCAATCACCAATACTCTCGCGAAGAGCATACTGCCCTTCAACTTGTGTAAGGTTCTCTCTTCCATTATAAAATATATATTCAAATAATGAACCATTATCATCAGTATTTATGATTTATTATGACCCATATTTTATTTAACAAAAGTATGATCCTTGAATCAAAGTATCAATATATTGATGTTCACATCTCTCGGTGCAGTTGAATGATGCAGGAAAGCTATCATTGTTATGAGCAAGCCTTTCAAGTTCAACAAAATTTAGGCCTTCCAGTTCAGTACTAGACTCTTTGATAGTGTGTTATTGCGAAAGTATTCCTCTTGTATTATTTTCCAAAATAATTGACAATATAGTAACTTGGAACTCTTTTTGTTCAAAATATTTGATTATATTCCCGGAAGAACTTGTGGGCCAATTCACGGAAATACTAGTGTTTACGCTTTACAGCTGGTTATGGAGGATTTGCATCACTTCAACATAACGTGGACATGCTTCCTGGTGAGTAGTGCATGTCCTGGATTCCATGATGTGGGGCAACCTGTCATTGGTTACGTTATAACATGCACGTGCCTCACACCATTATAAAAGAAAGAATCATGTCCTGTTGCTGTTCACAACATCCAAATGCTACTGTGTACTTGGAACCAGACGACAAAATATAAATAAATGCAATATGTACAGAGAACGTCATGAACCAGTTTCAACATTTAGATAGTAATTTCTGACTAAAATATACAATATTGTTAAATTCATGATGACTATATATGGCATGATACCTTCACATATTTTCTATTATGGACAGGATTTAACTAATATCATACTGTGCAAAGCATGAGCAGAGACTGAAGCCAAAACCTTCTTCCCTCTGGTCTCATACTGCAACTTTGATCTGGTCCAAAATGAATGTGGAAATGAGAGGACTTTGTCCTCTTCACCCCATGATTCTACATTTCCTAATAAACTTGTTTGAGGAATTTACATGTTTAGTCCATAAGCTTCGTATCTCTGGGGACCCAATCTCAAGCCATGGCTTTGCAGGGCCACTAAAATGTAAAACAGCAACGGAATTCAACATCTCTCTGCGAGCTTCTGGGAATCGATGTCCCAGCCCAGCTACATGCCATGAAGGATCAATAGGATGCACATTACCTTCCAAAGCGAGTAAGGCTGGTGGAAGCACTCCTGGTTTCCATAATGTCAATCCAGAATTGAGGTTCTGTGAAATACAACAATAGTATTACATACAAACATAAATTCAAACAATGTCATTTCATTACTAAGAATATCTCCAGTCATTAACATAATGGAACTCTACCAGTACGGAACTATTTCTTTAGAACTTGATCACAACAAAGATAACAGAGCAAAATATCTATATCAATAAATATCAAAATCATGTATTTTCTCCAGAACGTTTGTTCTTTGCAGAGCTCGGTCACAATGGACCTCAGATGGATTGGCACCAAATGAAATTCACAACAATCAGCAGAGGCCGTAGATTTGCTATACCCCTGTTCTCTGGTTCAGATTTCCTTGGTTTAGACATTATGAAGAATAGGCATGCAGGTAGGAGGGAGAAAAAATCCATCTACAGATTAACTTGATATAGCATCACACACTTTTTTTAGCAGTATCCAATTGCAAATTTTTTATTTATAAGGAGACACTATACTTACAAGTTTCAACCATTTATGGTAAGTTGCTGTGACATCAGTCTTCCTCCAAGCTTCAAGATCAAGGACATTCATTCCAAAAAGCCAAGCACAACGGTCATGGTCAAAATTGGATGAGATTATTGGGTTAGAGAAATTCAAGTAGTCTCTGTATTTTCTTCCTACACAACAGTTGTCTCCGCATGACGAGCCAAAAACTGCACCAACAGCTTTCCCTTCGAGATCTAATTCCCACAAAGATGATATATCACGTTGTACTGCTATATCATCGTCCAATAACACTATCTTGTTGAGATCTGGAAACAGCTGTTTGGTCCACAAAAATCGGATGACAGAACAATCATCATTAAAGATTTTCATATTCAAGGGTGTATCCATCTGATTAGAGAAGACAAAGATCATGTAAAAGATTTTGAGACTTACCTCATGAATATAAATTCGGAGATGATTCATAAGAGACAGGCAGCTAGGGCTTAAGACCTCCAAATATTTTCTATGCCCTTCCTCGTATTCAAAGTTTTCTTGCTTCAAATTGTTGTAAAAATGACTCCAAACTAAACGATTAATTTCTAACATCTCTCTAACCCCAACGTTCACTTCCTGAGACCAATCATATTGATGCAATCCTTTAACTTCCACAACTGCTGATTTAACAGAATTGATTGCAAACCATGCATGCATTGGAGTGTAAGTTTTCCTGTCAGTGACTATGTGAAACACCAATTCTTCAGGTCTGGCAGAGTTTTGGACAGTAGATGATACAACTACAGAGGCAGCAAGGACATTGTCGGTTAGGAGAACAACATGGCGAAAGGATGGGTCAGTGAGACGGGAAACATATTGAGGTGAAGGTAAACGAGATCTGGCCACTGCATTTACTGCATACTCTTCTGCCAATTTGAGGCAAAGGCAATGTATGCTCTTTGGGACACCGTGTGAGGCTAAATGCCAGTATATCGACTCACGTTGTCTAGCAGATTGGACCTTACGCTCCATCCCCAAAAGCTGTATATTGAAAGAAAAGTGTTGAAACTTGTAAGAGGTCTGGCAGCTGATGTTATAATACTCATAAAAAGGCAATCACTTATAATGCAAATTAGTGTCACATATGGGTTATTGTTTTATGACGCTCGTTCAAGCAAAATATTAGTCATCCTACAGATATGATTCTGCTGCTGCAGGATTTTTTCTTTTTTTTTTTTTTTTTTGCAGCAGCAGAATGTGTTAACTTCTAAACAAAAAAAAAGTTGGATCTAGAAAGAAGGTAAGAACTACTATTCATGAGTTTCCCATTAATGATTGTGCAAACATGAATTGTAGAAAATAGAAGACAGGTTTCTGTCAATGTTAGCCTACTCAGGAACCTGATAAATGAATGCTAACAAAAGTGTACCTTGAAAAGTAAGAGGGATGTGTGATTGTGACATAGACATTCAACCTTGATTCAAGATGTTTGTTTATAAATGTAAGGACAAACATCAAATCAAGCCAAGCAGATCAGCACTATATCTAAGAAAACAATTTATATTGGAACCTTTTTTTTTTTAACTTTCTTTTTGAAGAGAAAATAGAAAATATATATTTGAATACGCTAAGAAATAAATTAAAACTAAAAAAAGAAATACACTAAGAAATTAGAACTAGAAAAGGAAACAATATAGGTATAGCACTCATTTAGCATTACTATATCTAAACAAAAGTTAAATTAATTTTTTATAAGCATTTATCCACTCATTTAGCATTACTTTAATTTGTATATTCAGTGCAACTTAACATGATAAGGAAACATTATAGGTTAATAACAATTTCATTAGATGATTAGCCAAAGCGACTAATCAAATAATCTAACCCTCATGCTATACTATAATCTAAAGATTGTTATTGATCCGACGCCGATGGCATACCAGACCAGGAAAGAAAATATAATAACATATTGTTGTCCACATTGTCCAATTATATAAGACTTAGTACTATTGTATTTAATCTAATGATCAGATTAGCGACTTCTGAAGTGACATTAGTCCACCAATACCATACCAATAGGCGACAGTAAACCATAACTGAAAATTAGAATTGCTGAACAATACATAAAGTAAACAGTATAAAGATATGGATATTAAAAAGTGTCATGTACCATAGCCTTGGTCTTGAAAGCAAAGGCCTTGACGTCTTGTTGTTTGGACGTCATCTCCTTCACAAGCTCGTTGAATGATTCTAATGAAACCTGTACTCCGTCGTTACTGGTACCATCTTTTGCTTCTATTAACGCTCTCGTCAGTTCTTCTCTGAGTCTCTTTATGGTACATGCATCAACATAATAAAAGAAATATCAAAATTAATTACTTTATTGTTGTTGGTTCCGCCAAACAGTGTTGACGTATGATGATGAAAAAAGATTACAAGACCCCTGACATCTTAAAGGATGAGCTGTTGCCACGACTGTTTAGACCGCTTCCACAATAACATAAGTGCATTCTTTGGGAATTTTCAACCCCTTCATTCAAATCATATGGAAGCAGCCAAGTGGTCTTGGCAATAGCACTTCAACCCCCAATCATCACTTTTTACTGTTTTTCCTTTATTGAATCTAAAGAAATTATCATCAAGTGGACAGGAATACTGTAAAGTGTAAACGTAGGGTAACTGGCCACGTATACTAGAAAACAACTAGTGGAAGTGATATGGTGACAGTTCCTCGAAATGTGATCATACATGGATTATGCACTAAGAATTTTCATTCTTTCCAAAATTTATGGTCCTGGACCTCCTGGTACAAATATATTATGATCCATATCCAAGTTCATCCACTAGCCCATTACATTGTCGTAGGTGAAAAGATAATGGGTATATCTTAAAATGCGAGTGCTTAGATCCAATATTGACTGGTCCCACTTATTAATTCTTTAAAAAGCTGCAAAGAATAATAATGCCATGCACCCAAAATTTGACATCTTGTGAATATGGGGTGCCCTACATACCTTTATTATTCTTTTCTCACATTTTAACTCCATATATTCTCTCTTCTTTGCAAGTTGTTTATGCGCTTCCCGTGGCCAAAATGTTTTTTTATAAAGAAAAAGAGAGAAGGTGAACGACTAGTAACAAGATCCAAATTTCCTTATAGGTAGAAGTTTTGAACAAGAGTTGCCATAATCCCACCACACAGTTGGTGCATTACTCAACATCAAGGGGGGTAGGAGATGTATGAATATAAATAATCAAGTGGGTGTTAAACAAACTATGTTAAATCTGTCAAACTATTGACATGAAAAAGAAAATCACATTTGTCAGGATCAAATCGAAACATAGTTTGCCAAACCAAGTGATTGAAGGTGACAAAATCAACAACTCAAGCTAGTCCTTATCACATAAAAAGAAATTTTTTTTTTAAATCCCAATTTGCCAAAAACTTTGTTTCACTATTCTATCCCTATCCTATTCTACTATTCTATCATAAAAACCCAAAAATACATTTATTTCAATATTTTCAAAATCTAATTATACTTTATTTAACTCTTAAAATATTAATATTTACTTTTTTTCATAAGGATAATCTAACTTCACTTTTTTTTTTTAAATACTATTCTAAAAAAAATCAAATAATAAGCCAAACGAAGCCTTAAATTTAAACTCCCGATAACATTGAGACAAGGACAATATAGGTTTTCAGAAGTTTCCCAGAGGTACAAAATTGTGAAAATTACTAAGGTACCTTCAAAAGTGTAGTGGCTGTCTAATACATGGGTACAGCTGGCATGACTAGATGTGGATAAATAGAGTAATGCTATTATTATTATTATTATTGTAAAATGACGAGAGCCTCTTTCGTCATATTTGATTAAAATCTTTGTAGTATATTTTCATTACAAAAAATATCAATTATTCTAGTAATCCAATAAATATATAAAATATAATTTTATATGAAATCAAATGATAACTTCCCCTCTGAACTAAAATGAAAACTTTTCTATGTATTTTTACACTCATACTACATTACTACTTACAGCATCAAATATATACATAATTAAGTGACAATTCAGTTAGAGCATATATATAATAAATTTGTATTTGTTATATTAATTTTTAGTCTATGCTTCAGTATAGTCAAACATTAAAAGAAGGTACTTTTATAAGATAAAGCATCATACTTATTTATATTCCAAGTTGTAACAAATTGAGGCTGAAAACTATAGATGTTACTATTTATGTTACCAAATGATGTTTTCAATCTATATAGTATATACTAAAAAAATTATAGTACTGTACTGGAATATGACGTATCTTTTTTCTCTTATTTAAGTATTAATTTTTAAATGCGAAAGCAAATAAATTGGTGCATATAAAAGCAAAAGGGTATTTTCGTCATTAATTACCAGAGACGTGTCTCTCCCGCTGAAAAGTCTCCGTCCTATACAATCTGCAGAAACAAAAAATGTAGTCACAGTTAGAAATAATAATAAAAGAAAATCACATTTTCCCTAAAAATGGAAGAACTATACATAGAAATTCCGGTTTAAAACGGAACTTCTAAATTTTTTACGCAAAGTTATTAGTTAACAAAAAGAAATAAATATATAAAAAATCACTAAATCAAATTCAAAAAAAGTAAACTAAAAATGGTAAGAATTTTGTTTTTTCACCAAACGAAAAACGAAAGGGGAAATAAATTACCAAGAGAAGAAGAGCAAACAGAGGGAGATTCCAGCACCAAAAACGCAACTCTAACAAAGAAAAACGGCAAAACGATTCCAAGCACCAGCACTACCGGCAACAAAGCCCGGGAACCAGAAATCCTACGGCTAGCCAGAGTCAGAGCCGGCGCCACCAACGATCCCTTGCCGGAGTTCGATATCGTCACTCTCTTAATCCCCGTCGCTGATATGTAAAACTTCATTTCCTCTCACTATAATAAATACTTTCCCTCACTTTCCAGCACTTTCCCTCCTTTTCCATCAATCCAATCAGCAAACAATAAGATCTAACTTCTACTTACTCACTCCGGCCGTAAACTACAATAAATGACTTCAAAAAATTGGATTTAATAAGGAACTTTCCATGAAAATGAAGAAAATAGCAAAAGAGAATGAATAAGCATTGATAATTTAATTACCTTTTTTGAGAAGTCACGAGTTGGCTATTATGTGGAGTCAGGGGTTTTGATTTTAGAGATCACGCTCTTATGTTTCCACAGAGAAACAAATTTTTTTTCTTTTTCTATTTTTTTTATTTTGAAAAAAGAAAATTGTAAACAGTGAAAGAGAGAGAACGCGAAAAGCCAAAACGAAGGCCGCGTTTAAAGCCGCGGGAGGGAAATAATAGGGGGATTGCAATTATTTATATTCGCTTCAAAAGAGAGATTGTGACTTTTGTTATGTCTGTATATTAAATTACGGCTCTGACCTTGTTTTTTCAACTTTTGTCACCGACAGAGAATGTAGCACTAGTACAACCTAGTGTTATGCCGGCATTCTGTGGGAGTGGAAGACCGCATGGCCTTATTCTGCACCTCACTAGGTCTTTGACATTCCGTTTTTATGCTTTAACAAAGTTTAAAATTATTTAACACTTTGAATTTATATGAAATTAACTTTGATTAGTCGTAACTAATTATTACAGTTACAGTTAAATATAGGGTTCAATAATTCTAATTAATTTTATTCTCAAGGCTAAGGTCTTGTCTTTGAGGATGAAAAAGCACATGAATTGTCTTGATGAGCTTATTAATTATTAAATATAACCGAAAATTGGACCACTTAACATTCAATTCAATAATGGCAGTGTAGTGTGTAGCCCCAACATATTAGGATTATACTGCATGGAGATGTTCAGTTCAGGACAACATCTTCTCGGCCATAACTTCAATCACAACAATTTTCTTTTCTTTTTTTTCAATTCCTCGTTAGAATTTAATATAAAATGAGTCTCTACAACCCAATCACAAACTCGCTACTAAATTAATTATGCGGATATCAATTAATCTATACAAATTATTTTAAAATGGAGGAATGATTACTCTATGAATCAGAGATACGTACCCTCCCAACTTTTCATAAAATTGGATTTTCTTGAGTCTCGCACCAAAAATACGCCACACATAACATACTAATCACCAGTAAAACGACATGATAGATATATCATGTATACGTACAAGTGTGTTGAGTGTGTGACTGGCCACATGCCACACCGCCTCACCTATACAAGTAACGTTAAAGTTTCGAAATACAAAATACCTCGTTCTTCCTTCTAGGCTCTAGCGACTGTATTTGTTACCTGTAATAGATGCAGACTACAGCCAAAGGGGCCCATGGGCTCCCCTTGCATCTTCTGCAACCCTATAATTCACAAGGGGAAAAGTGTTTTTGTTAATATCACTATCACAAGTTTTATTATTAATATTTATCATTAGTATGGGAATCACCTTCCAATTGGATTATAAATTTTGATCGCCGTAAAATTATTATTTTTTTTTTTTTTTGGTAGCTTGTACGATCAGCAACCCTAAATGATGAATCAATACTTCATTGATTAAAAAATTCCACGTCGTTGGAAGTAAATGTTTATGATTATACATAATTTGGAAAGTGACTCAATTCACCATTAATTTCAAGCGTCAGTACTTGACGTGTGCCCTAATCTGTTGTAGATGTACCTCAGGTAGATAAGCATCTGAATTTTTTCCTTGTTTTCATGTGAATTAAATGTCACGTTAAAGATTTAATTTAAAGTTCCCAGTTCATGCAGCGACATTAACAGATAACTACAATACTAATATATTTGACTTTCGTACTACAATTAATTTATCCATACCTTATTTTTTAGAAATTTTCTTGATTGTGCCTAACATTAATTATAATTTTATTTTATTTAAAACTGTGTAAATATGTAATCCAAATGAGATATCCAGATAGACTTTATATGATCATTTTAATATTACCCTATACACTTCATTATAATATTCTGAATATATGACTAGTGTGAGCTTGAGCGTTTAATGAGCTTTTGGGTATTTAATGGGAGGGCTCAATTAACAAATATTAAAATTGGTTAGGTCTCATTTCCAAACGCATCATAATAACTTAACCCATTGTAAGTCGTCATTCAGAACGCGTTATTAGAAATGAAGACATACATTTTCTATCGCTTCTAGAAAACCTACCGCTTCTTTTGTAAGGAATTCAAGAATAAAAAATCATGACACAAGCAGATTTGTCTGTGACCTTTAATTATTGATTATGTATTTTATAATCTATGTGTTGATGTTTTGACATATTGTTGATTGTAATTGGATTTCGTTCTTATTGTTTGATTAGTATTGATAGAATTCATGTATAATTTTCATACATTAATTACACTAACCACTTAACTAATCCGGTGTCAACATAATCAAATAAATAAAAAGTTACATAATATGAATATATTCAATATTTATCATATATTTGTTTTTTAATACATAAAGACTATATTATATAAAATAAAATCAACACTATAACACATCCATCCTAAGCCCGTCATAATTCATATGATCATTCATACAAGTATGAGATCATGTATTGTATAATTAAAAAGCGTTTAAAAAGTTTTATTAAGGCACGGTTCATAGATAAATGTATCATAATTAAGATACGATATATAAAATAAAACTAGGGTATATATAATATGAATGTAATGATATGTTATGCGAAACAAGACAGAACATCATCATCTAGTTTAATTTCAATATGTATTCCCAACAGACAACAGTATAACTGGCATGAAACCATAACATTTACATACTCTCACATGAAATTTATGGATTGAACAAACCAAAACATTACCATTTTCCACGAGTTTAATTGATTACTCGTAAGTGGCAAGTCAAGCAAAGTTAGTTTCATTGTTTGACACATATTATATGCTTTACGTTTGCCTTTTAGCCTTAATCGACGGTTCCTTTTTAAAACATTTTTGACTTTGAGGATTGCTTGATCAAGTAATTTTGAGTTAGGTAATATGTATCCCCTATTTCACTTCTTTTTAGCTTTTGATTACCAATTGGGTGGAAGCATGAAAAATGCTTTCCAAGTTTTTAATCAGGTTTTGTTAATTCGCGTTGTGAGAGAAATTAAAACTTCTTTTTGACTAAAATATTGCAGTAACTAGTAAGTATGTGTACCAGTTAGGAGAATACCATTGATCAAGGTTTGATCTGTAGAGTCCAGATTTAGTTTGAAAGTATAATGTGTTTAAATTCAACAAGAATCATCAAGGAAAGAAAGAATTTCCACAAGGCATTAATTCCTACGTTCACACAATAAATGTTATCCTTTACTTTAGAAAAATCTATTGCAACCCTGCAGCACCACATTATTATCCAGAAAGCTTTAAATAATTTAATTTGGTTACAAAAAATCTGTAGTGACGGATAATGAATAGATCAGATTAATGAGTTTGTAAATAATTAATTTGGATGGGGAAAAAGAAAAGTTAAATTAAGTTATCAGTCATCTCCGTAAAATATGGAAGATAATAAAGAGTGATCTCAGGTGAAGAGTGGTTGTGTCGGTCGCCAACAAATTAAAGGGTAAAAGGAAAGGGTTTTGCTTAACCATCACAATTCCAGCGTAGTTAATATTTCAAATCTCTATGATCGTGACACAAAGCATCTATAACTATAGAAATTCATGTCATCATACATCCAAAACCAGGGGTAGATAATATAATAACGTATAACCATCCCCAGTTTTCTCCATGAATTGATAGAATGAAAGATCCAGAAATGACATAAATATGAAGTTATCCATATCTGGAATTGGAATGGACCCAACATAATCTCGATTCAAAGATGAAATGTTTTCTCACCATAATTAATCTTGAAATATAAAAGCATTTAAGTCAAAGATGAATTTATTGAACAAGGGTTAACGTGGTTGATTTGAGACTGCAAGCACATGCTTTCATGGTTCGGCATAAACAAGTCACTTAAAAGATTGTGTTGCTTGAAAACGAAGCCTTTTTCCCTCACAAAATTGGGGGTCAAGTAACATGCAAATTGGGACCTTTTAATAACAATGTCACATTCAGATATTATTGCATGAAAACCAAGTATCGGTTAAGTATAAACACTTGTCAGTGCGAAATAAAAGTTGCCCCCAAATCCAAGGGCTTGTATTTGAACACTTGTTGACAGGGTTTTCAATCATTTCGATGTGTTGGGGAAGGGGTAGGCCAAGCTCAATTCATGAAGACCTAACCCACTTTGGGAAATTGGGTTCAAAAGAATTTATCAAAGCTGGCCGAAACCATGTCAGTCTTTTTGGGCTTTGGATTGAAAGTTTTAAAATTCCTAGTAATTTAAAAATGGTGAATTATTTTTAGTTATTTGAAATACTTTAACGAGACACAAGTGTCACAAAGCCTTTTGTTACTGCATAATATTCAGTTTCATAGGGATAAAATGTCTTTAGCTAACAAGTACTAATTGATCAATTCCGAGGAAAAAGTTAAACCTTGCCATAAATAATCAAATTTTATTGAATAAATAAACTTTATAATTTAAAATTTAACGAATACATCGCTACCAGCAAGAGAACTTTATGACGTAATTGATCTGTCCCTTAAACAATGGCCAAAACTAAAATTCACAAAAAATAATAACTTAAATGATATTATAGTTTGATGATAATGAAAAAGAAAATAGAGTAATGCTACATTTACATCATCCATTACATCATTTTCATTACACCATCACTATTTTACTAATAATTATTTTATTATAATATTAAAAATTTAAAATAATTAAAAATTTGTGTGAATGTGGGATATGCCATGAAAATGGTGTAATGGGTGGTGTAAATATAGCATTACTCAATAAAATATTCCAAACCCTATGACCCAAAGAAGTGCAGAGATCAATCTTGGGGTTTAACTTGATGAAATGCTTAATTTGCCACTCCACTGAAAGAAGTTTTCTTGTTTGGTTCGAAGCCATTATTTTCTATCACTGACTCCTTACTTTTAGGGGCTGGAACCATCGTTAATCTGCTTGACTAGAATTATTTGTCAAAGCGGAATTTCAATATCAGGCCATCAAATTCTTTCAGTTCCAGACACACTCAGCATTCTGGATGGGGGACAAGGTCACCAGAAACATCACCCCACACTCAGGATTGCTAATTACCATTCCATTCTTCTTCAGACCTCTTCCCATGTAGTCCGTTCATGCCAACCCAGGTCTTTCAGTTTTTGATCGTCCAGGAAGTATCTCTGGTCATTAAAAGGCTATTCTCCACAAACTTAATTGGGTATCCGGGTTCA